GGGGAGGTGCTTCCCGCCTGCCGCTTGGCAGGCAGACGCTGCACAGAAGCTCGCTGGCTCCCTCGCGGCCTCGCTCAGCCCTGGCCCCGCGCTGCCGAGCCTCGTCCTGCCCGGGCAGGCGCCGGCAAATGTGCTGGAGCGGGGAAACAGAGCGGGGTGGGGGCCCGGCGGGACCCCCAGAGGGGTCCTTGTTGGGGAGAGGGGCTGAGTAGAGAGAAGCCATGGTCGGAGTTAACCCTTGGGGTGTGCAAAGGCGGGTTTTGCCCTGGAAATCTCTCCATTTAAGGCTTTTTGCATTTTGGTGCCAGGTCCTTGTTTTCCTGGGTTCATCCTCCTGGGATGCAGGGCGCTCCTGGCTGAAGGGGCCAAGGAAAGTGGCTTCTCCTTGATGGACACCCCAGATTCTGGGCTCTTGGGTGATATGGGGCTGGAAAGGATAAGTGGGAGCTCCACTGAGCTATGGCTTTGGAAGCCAATTCCTTTGGGAAGGGCTTTCAGGTTGGCAGAGCTGCTACCTGTGGCTCTGAAGACAGACAGCCCCTGGAAGAGGTAATTAGGGTGATCCTGTCCTGATCTCCTCAGCTGTGGCAACGAGTCACGAGTCCTGCACCAGCAGCCACTCCAAGCCCATTTTGCATTAATTAGGCTGTTTACAAAACACTGCAAATTGCAGTAATGAACACACCTCCTTGATTTCCTTCAATTATCCATTTGCATGATGAATGAACCGGCCCCCTCCTTAACTCTTCTTTCCTGCAGAGGAGTCTTGCAGCAGAGTAGGGTAGTTATGTGAGGTGGGCAGAGACTTTGGGAGAGGAGAAGAGGATGGAGGAGAAGGAGGAGAAGGGGCTGCAGCCCTGGAGATCTGTCCGGCTGCAAGGGAAGGGCCTCCTTTCCCAGAATGTTTCAATGGGTTTTGAGCAGCTGTTTCACCCTGGCTCTTGGAGTTTGATTTTCCATAGGAAGCAGCACAGGAACCTTTCAAGGCATTTAATCCTCCTCGGCTGGGCGACAGGGCTGCCTGGAAAGGCAGAGGAGGAGCTGCAGCATTTCTTGCCCCCCACATACCTTCCCCTTTCTTTCTCTTTTGACTTGGCGGATGAATTCCAGAGATGTTAATCCGCTCTCAACCCCTCGGCAGAGAATAAAACGTCCTCTCTGTGTGGGAGGAAGGAATTCATTCGAATTAATTGCAGGAGGGAGCTGGGGGTGTGCGTGAGGCTGTGCCGAGGGTGGGGTGAGCATCCTCCACCACTCAGTGGTCCCCAAAGGGGAGGGAGGGACAGATGAAGGGACGGGGATATCTGGGGTGGTACAATTCTTGCATTCATGACTGAGAAGCTTCAGCCTCTGCCCTTGCCATAAAAATGCCAACCATGTGGTCTGTGGGCCAGGCCTTGGCTGCAGTGATGGGCACAAGGAATGAGTGGGGGGCAAAATGGCCCCGCTCAGCAGTTTTGGGGTGCCACTGCCTATAAAGGGGAGAGAAGCACCATCCCATCAAGCTGGGGTGACAAGAGCTGTGGGGTCCGACCCATCCCGGGGGCATGCAGAGATGGAGCAGGAAGAACAGAGGGAAGAAAAGGTCTGAGCTTGAGCTGGGTCAGCCTACTTGAGGGGTCGTGGAGGTGAACGTGAATGAGAGGAGAGGAGAGGCCACCGGGATGGGCCAGGCACTGTTCTGCACGCTGGGAGGTTGGTGTGGCTGTGGGACTGGGTTTGTTCAGGGTCCCGAGAGTCATGCTGGGCAGGGTGGGCTCTGCCTCCTACCCTGAGCTTCACCTCTTCTCTCTGCAGAGCTCCTGGGATCTGCCAAGCGTCTGAATGTGAACTACCAGGATGCAGATGGGTGAGTGCTCCCTGGGCAGGGTGCTGGGTGCTGCTGCTGCCAGTGTGGGTGGGCTTGCTCTTCCCAGTGTCCAGTCAGTTCTTCAGCTCTGGGTTTCAGAAAGCTTTTGAGGGTATCTGCTGAGCCCCTGAGAAAACAACAGCATCTCAAAGCCAGGACAAGCCCTGCAGGGGTGGAACCAGCCGTTGCCTGGGTCTGAGCTGAAGGCTGTGCTCAATCCATCCTGCAAAATACTTCGTAAAGCTCTTCTGCATCCCTTCCCTGGGGGCTAGGGGTAAAAAGGGATCACAGCCAGTGCCCCATGTCCTGAGTGCTGATTGAAGCTCGGAGGAGCACCCAGCTGACCATGCTGCCTGCACATGCTACTGTCTGTGTGTAGTATCCCAAGAGCAAAAGCCCTTCTTTGGGGGGGGGTGGAGGGGTGGTTAGAGAAAGAAGAGATGAGGTTCCCAAGTGACCACAACATATTTATGTAGCTCATCACTTCCAAAATCCAAGCGCTTAATAAGATGGATACTGAGAGTTAAAGAAACCACAAAAGCCCATAAAATAAATAAGCATGTTATTCTTATTGAATTAACTCTGACCCGTGAGTTATTAGCATTGTTTTATGTAGTGTTGTTGTACCTAATTTCTACATGTTTTCTTTTTGAGGACTCTGTAGGAGGAGGTGTCTGTGATGAGTCCTAACAAGCCAGTGGGGGGTTGAAAATGTGCAGGATGGCTCTGTCTTAAAATAATACTGTGCAGATGGAGCTTAATAGAAAAAACAAAGTAATAATAGAAGCAATGATCTGATTCTGATAAGGCACAGGATTTGTGCTCGGGCAGCTCCAGGAGACCTGCTGGTGGGGACACGGGTAAAGGGTCAGTTCCTCATCAGAGGGCCACATGCAGGGTATTCACAGTGTGGGCAGCATGTTGGGTTTTCCTGGGGTGCAGGAAGGGGATGGTGGGGAGGTGAGACCCATGCACAGAGGCAGCTTCACACTCCTAGGAGAGCAGTGCCACTGGTGGTGTCCTCAGCATCACCTTGCTTATGGCTTGGAGATGATGGGGTGAACAAGTGAGCATGGGTTTGTGCAGCTGCCTCCAGGGCAGTCCTGGCCCTGCAGGGTTGGCTCAGAGAGGGAATTTTATCACAGAATCACAGAATCTTAAGGGCTGGAAGGGACCTTGAAAGATCGTTTAGTCTAACTGGGAGGAGATCTGTCCAGCCAAGAGGCTGGGACACTGCTGAGCCCATCAGAGCCCCGGGCCAGCACTGTCTGGTGCATACAGACTAATCCCCAATGGTGCAGGGACCCTTCACTTGCCATGGCCCTCCTCATGACAGTATGGAGGGAGTGCTGGGCAGACAGGCCCCTCTCACAGCCCTGAGACACAGGGCTCTTTCATTACTGGTGGCCTCCCACACTGTGCCATGGACTCCCAGCATCCCTGCTGGCATGGGAAGGGGCCAGGAGTAGCCTCAGGGCTGGTGTGTTTGTTGGATGCTGTGAGCAGCTTCAGGCTGCCTGGCTGCATTGCAGAGCAGGGAGATGCATCTCTGACCATCCCACCTGCTTGTCCCCCCAGAGGTCAGCAGGGTGAGGGACCTGTTTGGGGCCCCTGCACCCCTCACTGAGCCCCAAGGCATGGACAGCAGAGGGATTTATCTCTGCTTTGCTATGGGGAAACTGAGACACCGGGAGCAGGGTGTCAGGAGGGATATAGCAATAAACTACTGGTGGCTGTCCTGGCCCTCGGCCTGTGTCCCCATGCAGGTGGGGTAGTAAGGACAGCACAACAGGGCTGGGGCCCGGGCTGAGCCCTGCCTTGTCTCACAGGTTCTCGGCGCTGCACCACGCAGCCCTGGGCGGCAGCCTGGACCTCATCTCCCTGCTGCTGGAGGCACAGGCCACCGTCGACATCAAGGACAGCAACGGTAAGAGGTGACCCCCCCATCCCTGGGCACATCCCTGTGCCTCCAGCAGGCGGCTGAGCCCCAGGAGCCAGCCCGGGGGCTGCATCCAGCCCTGCTGAGCCCTGTTGCCCCGCAGGGATGCGGCCCCTGCACTACGCAGCCTGGCAGGGGCGCGTGGAGCCGGTGCGGGCGCTGCTCCGCGCTGCCGCCTCCGTCAACATGGCCTCGCTGGACGGGCAGATCCCGCTGCACCTCTCAGCCCAGTATGGCCACTACGAGGTGGTGAGTGAGAGCCCAGAGACACCCACACACACACACCCCGGGTCTCTCTGGGGGCAAACCCCCACCGAGGCAGGGGCACGGAGTGATGCTGAGCCCCTGTGCCGTGTTGTTCCCCCCACAGTCAGAGATGCTGCTCCAGCACCAGTCCAACCCCTGTCTCATCAATAAGGCTAAGAAAACTCCTCTGGACCTGGCCTGCGAGTTTGGGAGGCTGAAGGTGAGCGTTGTGGGGCTCTGTCTGGCAGCAGGCACTTCTCTGGGGGTGGCTCTGGAGTCCCACTGGGAGCAAAGTGCTGGGTCTGGCCACAACTGCTGTCCTTCTGCCATGAGCTCCTGTGGCTGGGCAAGACCAGATCCTGCACCTGGAAGCTGCGGGTTTCGTTCCTGACCTCACAGCTGGGCAGTGTCAGGCAGGGAGAGAAGCCAGGAGTCCTTGTTTCCTCTTCCCTGCAGCCTCCCCCTGCCAACCCCAGCTTTGCTCTCAGTTAAGCACAGAAAGGCTGAGCTGGCTAATCCCTGCAAGCCCTGAGTGCCTGAGTGCTCAGCTGCTCCAGGTCCCTGGCACAGCTTGTGGGGACAGGGCCACCCTGTGCCCTGGCAGACCCTGGCCCAGCCAGCCCCACTCTGCTGGGCTGGAGCATGGCCAGCCAGACCATCCTGTGCCCTGCCAGGGAGGGGACCAAGGGGGATGTTTCCATTTTTGGAGTATCTATAATGTCTGCAGCTATAAACAGGGCAGTAAAAATAACTCCTCTGTGCCTCTGGGCTGCCCTGAGATGCTGAGAGTTGCTCTGGGCTTGGAGAGACTGGAGCTTTTTAGGGCTTGATCTGAAAAGCCTGATTATGGAAGGCCATTTTTGACTGTTGTGACCTTTTACAGCCTCTCACGACAGTGTGGCCCTGCCAAGCACCATCCAGCCCTGGGGCAGTGGGTGGAGGGGAACAGTGGCATGGGAAGCAGAGGGCTGGCACCAAGGGTGAGCCCATCAGTAGAGGGTGCAGGCAGGGGTACCTGCACCCACCACTCACCCCTGTGCCTTGTACAGGTGGCCCAGCTGCTGCTGAACAGCCATCTGTGTGTCGCCCTCCTGGAGGGGCAGTCCAAGGATGCCACGGACCCCAACTACACCACCCCACTGCACCTGGCAGCCAAGAATGGGCACAAGGAGATCATCAGGTAACCCCTCCAGCCCTGGCCACTGCCCTATCCTGGAAAAAGCCATCGTGGCTTCAGTCTCGCTTCCTCCCAAACCCACTTTCCCACTGCAGTCCCCAGAGCCTCAGTGGTGCAAGGGGTCAACCCTTCCCATCACAAAGCAGCTGATTGCCTTGCCCTGGTGTCTGTGTCCTGTTGTTCATGCCTCTGCCTCCATCCTACCAGGCAGCTGCTGAAGGCTGGGATTGAGATCAACAAACAGACGAAGACGGGCACAGCCCTGCACGAGGCCGCGCTCTACGGCAAAACGGAGGTGGTGCGGTTGCTGCTGGAGGTGAGTGGGTGGGGACAGGGCTGTATGGGGGAGCAAGCTTCTGGGGGTCAGCCAGCACCCCCTTCCCCTCAGTCCCTCCATCCCCTGTGGGTCTGGTGGCAGCTGGGGGTCTCTGTGGATGACCCCATCCACTCCTGGGCAGGGTGGTGTTGATGTGAACATCAGGAACACCTACAACCAGACGGCGCTGGACATCGTGAACCAGTTCACCACCTCACACGCCAGCAAGGACATCAAGCAGCTGCTGAGAGGTGAGGTGGGACCAGCACATGGCTGGGTGCTGCCTGGCATTGAGAAGGGCTTCTTACCCCTGGAACCTGTCTGGGGCTCCCTAGCTTCTCCTGAAAGGCTAAGTCACCCTGGCTGTGAGCATCAGCATCCCAGTCCCATCTGGCATGTCCCCATCCTCCATGTGGGCACTGTCCAGGGATTGATTCCTTCCTGCAGTATTAATGTCTTTTTCTCCCATCTTCTTGCTCTTGTTTTCTTTCTCTGCCTTCCCTGAAATGCTCTCTTTCCTCCCTGTGCTCTGGCACCTTCTTTCCTCCCTGCATCCCTTGTCTTCAGAGGCATCAGGAATCCTGAAGGTCCGAGCTTTGAAGGATTTTTGGAACCTCCATGATCCAACTGCTCTCAATGTCCGGGCAGGAGATGTCATCACGGTGAGGCTACTCCCCTCTCCCCATCCCTCTGCCCCACCACAGCCCCAGGTACCAACCCTATCCCTCTCCTCCCTGCTGGATTGCAGGTCCTGGAGCAGCATCCAGACGGGCGGTGGAAGGGGCATATCCACGACACTCAGAAAGGCACCGATCGGGTTGGGTACTTCCCTCCCTCCATCGCTGAAGTCATCAGCAAGCGCACGGGTCAGTGGCCATGCTGGGGACAGTTCCCTGTGTGAAACCATCCTGGCCTTCTCGGCACCTCTTGTAGGACAGGTCCCCAAAGCCCTGGCTAGATAGGGAGGAAGAGGAGGGCTCGGGTGGGCATTAGGGATTTTGCCACAGGTGGGATGGCAATTTGGGGGTTGGGGTTCAGAGATCTAACCCTGCCCTGCCTCCTGCACGAGCTCTGACCACGCATGTTTTGTCTTTGAATGCAGGCATGGTTGTCCCCCGCGTGGCGCCCGTGCACCAGCGCCAGGGTCCCCCCGGGGCCCTCCCAGCCCCCCCTGGTGGGCTGCAGCACCTCCCCGACGAGTGTCCTCACCAGGCAGCCCCGAGCATCCCAGCCTATGGCCACCTCACCCTAACCCGGACGGCCCCAGGCCCTGACAGCTCAGGTCAGGGGTGCAGCTGGGGAGGGAGGAGAGCTGGGGGCCTTCCCCTGTCCCCAGCCCTGTCCGTGCAGGGGGACACAGGAGGAGGCTCTCCTTCCACCTCCTGGTGGAAAAAGAGCCAGGCAAGAGGGAGCAGGTGCAGGAAAAGGGAGTTTAGGGGAGCCCATAGAGCAGCCCCTTCCCTCCCCATGTCCTCAGCCACTCCGCATCCCCTTGCCCCCTTCATGCATCCCTTGCTAGCCCTGGGCACCCGGTCTGTGCCATGCGGGGAGGTGGGAGGGACTGATGCATTATCTGTGGCCAGAGGGATCTCATGGGTGGCTGGTTTTTACTGGTGTCACCGTTGGCACATGGGTCCCTGCTGGGGACATCTGTGTCCTGTGTTAGCCCCGATCCCGGGGCCCTGCTGATCCCTCCCCACCTGCCCTGAGCAGCAGGAGACAGGAACAGCGTGGGCAGCGAGGGCAGCATCGGCAGCATCCGCAGTGCCGGCAGCGGCCAGAGCACCGAGGGCACCAACGGGCAGAGCACCAGCATCCTCATCGAGAACGCCAGGGTAGGCACCAGTCCCTGCTCCCTGGGCTAGCTCAGGCTGCAGATGGAGCCCCAGCAGCCTCCCTGTCACCCCCCTGACCCTCCTCGCCAAGGAGGGGCTGCAGAACCTGAGTGTCCTCCGCTAAACACGTGTTTGCTGCTGGGTCTTGGTGGGGAGGTGCTCCTGGGGGTCCTTGATTGCCTCCCCCTCCTCTCCTCACAGCACAGCTGGTCCCAGCTGTGACCACAGCTGTACCACACACCATCTCCACTGTGTCCTGTGTCACCTGAGGGGATAAAAAGGGTCCTGGGCCAAATCCTGCTCAGATCTCTTGCAAGGGGCTAACTCTAAACTAAGGAAAGCTGTGCCTGGTGATCTTGTGTGGGGACCCCTGCCCCACTCCTGGGGATGCAAGGCAGACCCTGGCACCCACCTGGGAGGACAGGAAGGGAGGTCCCTCATCCACTCACTTCTCTCTCACAGCCACTGCCCTCCACTGGTGATGACATCCAGCAGCACCTTTTGGGATCAGAACCACACAATGGACAATTGAACTCCACAGCAGGTGAGGAAGGGCCACCACAAGGCCTTGGGGACAGCTGTCTCCTTGGTCCTGGGGGCTGCTCACTGCCCAGGTGCCCCTGTGACTGTTCTCCTTTCTTCTCTGCCAGGGCCACAAGGCCACCAGCCTCCAGGTAGCTGTCCCCCCGGAGACAGGGTGTTCTCCCACCAGTTCGTGCGGCCTGAGCAGCTCCTCGAGGGGAAGGTACGTGGGAACCTGGAGTGCTGGGTGGGAGGGCCACATCTGGTGCTCTCAGTGCAGCTCTTGCTGCACTGGAGGCACAAGGGACTGGGCCTTGAGGAGGAGGGAGAGAGGTGGGTCTTGACTGAAGCAGCCAGGTCCTTCCAGCCCCTGCAGCCACCATCATGAGCTGCTCTTTGACCCGTCCTCTCCACAGGATGCAGAAGCCATTTTTAACTGGCTGAGTGAGTTCCAGCTGGAGTCCTACACTGCCAACTTCCTCAATGCTGGCTATGATGTCCCCACCATCAGCCGCATGACCCCAGAGGTAAGACAGGTCCTTGTCCCCGCCCCCCCAGCCCCACAGTGATCTGCTGGCAGTGGGCACTCCCTGCTCCAGTGTCCCCGTGCTGCTGCCAACCACAGCCTCGCTCTGCTCACGTTAGGATCTGACAGCCATTGGCGTCACCAAACCAGGCCACCGGAAGAAGATCTCCACCGAGATCGGGCAGCTCAGCATTGCTGAGTGGCTGCCCAACTACATCCCGGTGAGTCCCTGGCACCAGAGCTTTGGTCCAGCACCTTCTTTTCTCCAGGTCTTTTCTCACCTTCCCCCAGGACAGGATGGGAGTCTCTAAGTAAAAATGTGTGCTGCAACAGCCTGTCTTAATGCAACCAGCGAGACCCCAAAACCACAGTCTCCCAGCCAGGGGCAGGGAGAGAAAGGAGGAAGCTGCTGCCCATCCCTCGAGGCTCAGGGCAGTGTCTCCATGCTCTTTGCAGGCTGACCTGATGGACTGGCTCAGTGCCATCGGGTTGCCCCAGTACCACAAAAAGCTGGTGAACAATGGCTATGACTCCATCACCATCGTGACAGACCTGACATGGGAGGATCTGCAAGAGATCGGCATCAACAAGCTGGGTGAGTCCCTGCCACTGTGCTGGGGTGGCCCAGGGCAGCCAAGTTTTCCACCCAGGTCCCCACACCCTGTTCTTCCTCAGGCTGGGAGGTGCAGGCACATCCTGTGCACTTGGAAAGGGCAGTTTGTGGCTGTCCTAAGCGCTCATCTTGGCAGGCTGGAGCCAGGCTGGGCCAGGTGGACTTCGGCCATACTTTGTCTCCTCCCATAATCAGGGTTTTGCTACCCAGGAGGCCTTTGTCCTGGTCAGTGTTGTGACCAGGACTTTTGTTGGCCAGGAAACAAAGGTCTTGAGGGCTGGAGCCAACATAACACCCCTTTCCTGTTGCAACCTTCCTGTAGGACACCAGAAGAAGATCATGTTGGCTGTCAAGAAGCTCAGAGACCTTCGCAAAAGCCTCAACCAAGCAGAAGCAACTTTGACAAGACGCAAAGTCCCCGGTGCCCTGGACATTGTCACCATTGAGTCACTGGAAAATGGGGAGTGCCAGTCCCCTCATACCCCCAAAATGACAACCTTCCAGGACAGCGAGCTCAGCTATGAGCTCCAAACAGCTATGTCCAACAGCTGCCACGAGACACTTAGCATCAAGAGCAGCCAGGGGATGTCACGGAGCCAGGAGAGCATCGGGGTGCGTTCCCGGGGCTCGGGGCACTCACAGGACAACGTGCTGTCCCGGCACCTCTCCAGCCCCTCGCAGGAGAGCCTGGGCAGCAGGGAGAGCAGCAGCAGCAGCGGGCAGTCCTGTGCACCGCCCCGCAGCAGGGAGAGCCCGGCCAGCCCGCCGGGGCGGCCCAGTCCTGAGCCCTACGGAAAGCTCGTCTCCCCCGAGGGGCTGAACGGCTACGCCAGTGGTGGTGGGTGCAGCCCCCTCAAGGAGAGGAACCTGCCTGAAGGCACGGATCAGTACCCCCGGCCAGTGGCTCAGAAAAGTGCTGGGACGCCAGCGGTCACCCCCTGTAGCCCTCCCCAGACCCCCAGCAAAGCAACGGCGCCGTACGTCTTCATGTATCCACACGTCTCCTTGAAATCCCCGACAGC